CTTCCAACCTGGGCCATTCTGTGTGATTCTATTCCCTAGATCTCTACAAAAAAAGGAAGAGTAAAGCAAACAGACCACAGGAATACATCAGCCCACTGCTGGGACAGCCATCTCACAGAGCTATGCGCTGCCCAGCAAAGCAATAGCAGCTCAAAACCAAGCTTTAGAAAGGAAACCATTTCAAATCATGGCATTTTAAGATGTGGAAAAACATTTTTTTCCCCTCTCTTTAATAAAACCGAATCTTTAATAGACCCCGCTTGGAGAACAGAAACAGCCCGCAGTTGCTTTTGACTTTGCAAAGACATATCTAAGGATATTTGAACCAATGTTTTCTTCCTAGATAGAAAATTCCTCGGATTAAGGAGGTATGCTTGGAATCTGGGTAATACTTCATTGCTTAAGCAACCCCCAACTCCACTCACCTCCCCATCGATGTGTTGGAGCCCGAACTGCTCACAGATGGAGATGAGCTTCTTGCGGTTCAAGTGGCCATCCCTGGAGATGCCGAGGTGCTCACAGACCTCTTGCAGCTTCTCCTCCACCCATTCTGGTGTGGGCAGTGATGTGCCTTGGGAGGCATTCAGGTCGTCTGGGTTCCAGAAGCGCAGCTGCCCTGAAATGAGAGAAAATCACCCCAGTGTATGGGAATGATCCATTAATTGCAGTGACTGCTGACAGGACATTAATGGTGTTTGCACACCATGAGGAGCTTTGTAGACCCCAATGCACACTTGGCACGTTGAGGTATCACTACCAGCAGCAGTGTGGCTGTCAGACTCTTCTAGAAGCAGACTTCATGTGGCATTTAACTTCCACCACAAGCAAGGAATCCACATGTCCAAGCACGGGGCAAGCTGGGACCTCCAGGATGGAGGTGGGCTGGCAGCCCTGCTGCCCAAACCCCTGATGGAGAAGTGGTTCCTCCTCTCTAAAGAACCACAGGATTTACAGAGAAGACCTTGAATAGAGCCCCCGGAGACAAACCAGCCAAAGCATGCCCAGCTGCAAGGCCACCTCCTCATGCCTGCTGAGAAAGTGGGGCAAAACTTTGGTCCTGGTGGATGGGGCGAGGGTCAGCCAGCAGCTATCATGGGAGAGGTGTCAGAGAAACGAGGAATTGCATGGCTTAGCCATAAGAACATCCTCACGTGCCATGGGCTTTGCTAAGAAGAGCACAGCAGCTCACGCCAGCTCTCTGTTATGGGGTCCACCCCGAGCATCCCAACCCAAAGCACACCCTGGGATCACCCAGCTGTGCAAACGGGGAACTGAGGGCTGGCCCGTGGTGACATCTAGCGACCACCCTGCTCCACTACAAGGACAGGATGTGTCCCAGGGACTGCTGTGGGGACAAGGAGGAGCACCAGCAACAGGAGAAGTTGCGTGCAGAGATGCTGAGACATCAGGCAGCGCCCTCAAGGAGATGTGCGTTCATCACCATTCCCAGTTTGGGGCTCGCTCCCATTTCAAGCAAGGAAAGACCCGTGTGTGTGCCCAAAATTGGGCCAGGAGCTCAGCACAGCCCAGCAGCACAGCGCTGAGACCACCCTCAGGCTCCTGTGATGGTTCTCCTTTCAGCTTTGAAGCAGAACCACATCCATCTGTTTGCCCTTACCTTCTGCCTCGTACTCCTCGCTGTCCTGAGTCTTCCAGCACTGGGGAGAAGACAAAAAGGGACCTTGAGCTGTTATGACTGCAAGACACGACACGTATGAAAGACTCCATGATCAGCATCAAACAAGCTGCAGGCTGCCAGGCTTTCATCTCCCTGCTCCCAGCAGGCAGCCCTCAGCTGTTTGATGCTGCTGCTCCTGGCACACACCGTGCTGCTGGGGGACACACCACAGCCGTGTTAGGAGCTGCCAAAGCCCTGCAGACGGCCCAGGAGAGGTATGCTGGCAGATAGCAGCGTGGCCCAGCAGCTCGATGGGGAGGGAATGAGAGATTTGCTGGTTTTTGAACTCTCCACGTTGCCTTCTTAGCAATATTGATGGATGAGACAATGGGGATGCAGCAAAGACTGCGCTGTGCATAGGAATCATCTGAATTTGCATCACCCATTCCTTGCAGCACCTGATTTCCTGCTGCACACTGAGTCCTGCAGCCCACATGGATCCCACACACAGACAGCTGGCTTGCCAGAGCACAGGCAGAGCCCACCTAGAGCCTCGAACATCCCCCCCATGGACAGCCCTATGGCACACACTCTCAGGGTGGTTTCACATCACCTCGCACCAGCTGCAGAGTCCGAGCATCCCAGGCAACCACAGCAAGTAATTAAGCCGCAACGATCTCACATGAGCACCACAGGGACATCTGCTCCCAGAGCTCACACAGTGTGGAAGATGGGGATTTCACTGCTTTGTGCATCCCATCTTGCAAGCAGGGACGCATCTGCCTGCAAAGCATAGGGCCAGCAGCCTGAGCTTGGCCCAACCTGAGCATCCTGCCTCCTCTGCCTCCCTTGTACCAGATGAGGGTCTTTGCTAGCACGCAATGCTCAGCAATTTAATCTCCCAGTCCAGCAACAGCATCAGCAGATGTTACTCCTGCATTACAAGCGTGTCCTTGCGCGTGCACGGGACCGACAGACTTAAAGTCAAAGTCACTCAGGACATAAAGAGGCTCTAAATCATCCTACAGAAGTTCAACACGCCTCATTCAGATTACAGCTAAAAGCCATTAATCTACAGCGTTGCCGTGGAAACTGGATTAGGTCACTGTACTTTTTTAGCCCTGCTGCCGGATGAAGGAACGGCCGCCGCCAGCAGCCCCACACGGCCCTTTGCTGTGGGGCCAGGGCAGGAGGCTGGGGGATCCCAGAGAGGGGGAGATCAGCCTTTGTGCCCCTGTAAGGCTGCAGGCAGAGATGGGTTGGCACAAGCAGGGCTGGAGCTCAGCTGGGTATTCGGGACAAAGCCAGGGACGTAAATAACACCACACTGGAAAGCTGTGGATTTTGGCCTCAAGCAGAGCTGTCTGGCTACAGCCACGACTGAGGCATTGGGGTGGGCAGATCCCTGTTTTGCTCAACAGATGATGGATGCAGTCAGTGGGGAAGTGTTTGGATCTGGACTGGGGGGGTTCTTGGAGGTCTTCATGGAATCATAGAATTGCTCAAATGGGAAAAAACTGGGAAAGACCTTAAAGATCATCGAGTCCAACCTCATCCTAACCGTCCTGCCCCAACTCTAACAGCCCCCTGCTAAATCATGGCCCTGAGCACCACATCCAAATGGTTTTTAAGCACGTCCAGGGATGGTGACTCAACCACCTCCCTGGGCAGCCCACTGCAGTGCTTCACAACCCTTCCTGCAAAGAAGTTTGTCCTGATATCCAACCTAAACCTCTCCTGGTACAACCTGAGGCCTTGGTCTTTTCCCCAATCTGAATGATTTCACGCGTCAGGGAAGCCAGAAAAGAAGAGCCTGGTGCTCATCTTCAGAAGGGACACAGAGGGGCAGCGATGCCATTAAAGATCAGTGCATTCCCCATCACCTCTGGGAGCTGCTGCCACGTCTGGGGGCCTTTTGTTTGATGGGGAAGCTTAGGGTGGGCACAGCAGGAGGACAAAAGGGGCCGGCGTGCCCCACTGTCCCACACAGCATTGTTCCCAGCCCTGCAGCTGGATGTGGGTCACACACATCAGCGGCTGCGTGCAGGACTGGGATCCCAGGAATGCATTATCCCAGCGGCGCGTGCTCGGCTGCCCGAGGAGCAGATGGCCACAGCTTTCAATGCTCCCATCCTGCAGCTCGGGGCCCGGCGAGCATCTGCAGCCTGTGCCGTTTGCTCGCGGTGGCCTCTCCCCATAATAACTTAGCAACCTCTCCCACCCTGCCATCTGCTTCTGTGAGACAGACCTTTGTTCTCCCCCAGAATATATGGCTAATTAAAATGATGATCAGGAGCACACACTGAGCGCAAGGTGATCCCCCGTGCCTGTCCTGACAGCCCCTATTTCATCCTCCTGCGTCTGCCCGGGGATGAGCTCAGAGCCCAGCAGGCTCTGCAAGGACTGCTAGAAGGCAGCACAACCCCACAGTCCAACCCTATGGTTACCCTCAGCTGCAAAGCAGAGCATCAACAATTGTTGGGGATCTTTGGGGAGAGCGAGCACGACACTGAGCTGCCGTTTGCAGATCCTGATTTGTACAGGATAAGGCTCTGGTACAGCCCTGTGGTTTGGGACAAGGCAGCCCTCATCTCCTCTCCCATAACGAATCCACACCAGACAGCCCTCTCCCTGCAGAGGGGAACAAACAGATGTCTGGGGAACAGATGGGGCAGGCACTGCTGCCACATCCCAGTCCCATCCCTTGGGTTTCTATGAGCTTCTGCCTCCTGCAATGAAGGAGGGACCTTTCCCAGAGCAGAGCCCAGCAGCTGGGAAGGAGATGACAGATGCCTGGTGCTGAGGTCTGGAAATCAGCACAGCCTGGGAATGAGGCACATTTGACCACATACCTGGGGATACGATGCTGGGAACCCCACAGCCACTGAACCCCAACCTTGCACCATCACACCGGGCAAAAAGGAAACTAAAACAAGGCCAGCATTCCCCAGGCATACTTGGCCAGCTCTATGCCACTATGGCCTGAAAGCCCAACAGAATCTGTCACTCGCCCCAAGACTTTAGGATCATAGAACCATTCAGGTTGGAAAAGACCTCTGAGATCCCCAACCCCAACCACCCCACCATGCCCACAACCCTCAGTGCCACATCACCACCACTCTAGAACACTCCCAAGGATGGTGTCCCCACCGCTCCTGGGCAGCTGTGCCACTGCAGCACCGCTCTCCTGAGAAGCAATCTCAGGTGACAACTGGGGCTGGAGATGAGCAGCTTCAACACTGCAAGCATTCATGCTGCATTTCCAGGGGCTTCCACGGTTGCACCTCCAACAGCACCGCATCCAAATGCTGCCAGAGCCACTCATTTCTCGTTACCCATTAGCACACAGCCTGGTGACAGTGCTGAATTCAGCTCTGATTGCTCCAGTGGTTCCCAGAAAGTCACCAGGGATGGATGTGGCAGAGAAGCCCCAGGCAGCTGATCCCCACAGACTGGCCCTCCTCAGCTCTGTCAACACGAAATGAGAGGCTGAGAGGGAAGGAAGCTGCTCAGACAGAGCCTGAGCCCTTCTAATTGGCACCGCTTGAGAGCAAGCGCCAATTAAGCCACACTGCCCCAGTTCTCAGGCTGGCAAAACACCCCAAGCTGGAGACAAACTCATGGAGCAGTCGGCAGCGAGTTCATACACACCGCAGGAAAGAAGTGCTGGGTGGGATGGGCCCCAAAATATTGGGGACTATTCAAGCACTGACAGCAGCCAGCACTTCAGCCCCAGGCTGCAAACAACCAATGACTGTGTATAACAGGAGAATCATCTTCTGGAGCCAAGAAAATAGCACCGATAAAGATGAGAAGTAGGGATTTCACACATTTATCCTCTTTTTTGGCTCAAGGTGCAAGGGAATTATCACTCCATCCATCCAAAGGAGCGCAATGGGAGGCAGCACCAGGAGTCTGTGCTCCCTGTTGGCAGTTGGGTACCAATTTAGTTAATTGGCTGACCTTGTTAATGGGCTAGCCCTCTACACCTACTCAACAGCTGAAACAGAGGAATAAAATTAGAGTGGCCTCTATCGAGGGCATCACTTCCCTGGAGGGGGTGGGTGGATTCACACTGATTTCCAGGTCAGGGCAGCACTGGGAGATGGAAGAGCATCCCCACAGCTTTGTGAAGATCTGCTTCACAGAATTAGCAATTAGGAAAAAAAAACTTCTCCGAAAGAGCAGGCAGGCACTGGCACAGCTACCCAGCTGTGGTGGGGTCACCGTCCCTGGTGGTGTCCAAGAAACACAGAGGTGGGGCACTGATCAGTAGACATGGTGGAGTGAGGATCTATCTTGGAGGTCATTTCCAGCCTCAATAATTCTATGGAACGTTCTCCCTTTCTCTTGCAGGGAGGAGCATGCTTGTGTGCGGGGCAGCTGCAGAGCCCAGAAAGAGCAAAGTGACGCCAGGAAGGGGAGGGGAAAGCAGCTGCATTTCTCCCTCCTACTGGAAAACTCCTACCACGCACCGAGCGCTGAATTGACAATGGCTGGCAGGCCTGCAGCAGGCTGGAAGGGACCCAGCTCCAAGGAAATGCTGCTGGGGCAGCCCGCTGCCAAGCTGGGAGGAGAGATGTGGGTTAGATACAAGGGGAAATCCTTCACCCAGACAGCAGTGAGGGCAGCAGTGGCTGCCCCATCCCTAGAGGTGCCCAAGGCCACGGATGGGTCCTGGGCAGCCTGAGCTGTGTCCCTTCCCACTTCCCACCCAGCCATGCTGTGGTTCATGGCCACGGCTGGCTTTCCACAGGTGAGTTGATGGATGAGGATGCTCCTTCTGCTGGCATACCCCCAAGCCCACTTCAGCCCAGCCACACAGCGTGGCTCACAGCCCGCACTGAATTGCTGGCCAGGACGTGGGTAGCACACACCACCGTGCCCCACAGCCACCCTGCTCACCTCCTCACGGCCGCTGGTTGTGATGTGTGGAGGCTGCACTTCCTCTCCCAGCGGCTCGAGGACGGTGACCTCAGCAAAGTCCTCCACGGACTGCTGGAACTCCGGCAGCGACCGGCGGCCGTAGCGCTTGTTGCCTTTGATGTATTTGGGCTGCGCTTCTGGGGAGCAATCTGCAAAGGTGGAGAGCAAAGGGAGTTGGTGACAGGTTAGAGTTGCTCCTACTGATGGAACAGCCACTGTTGCAGAGATCAGCGGGCTCTCTGCCTTTCTCACCCTTCTGTTTGCAGAATCATTCCGGTTGGGAAGATCCCCATGCCCGCTCCACCCCACCACATCCCCCAATGCCACATCTCCACGGCTCACAGGCTGTTCTGGACCCCCAGCACTCCCTGCCCAGTTAAGGTGCTGGGGAAACCCATCCCCACTGCCACCTCTGCCTCAGATCAGGACATTAATTAGGCCTTTCCTCCTTGCGCTAATCTTCATTAGCAGCAATGGGCAAGTTTAACAAGGGATAGCAACCCACTCGGGCAGCAACAGAGACCCACAATGCCTGGACACATGAGTGACCTCCACTGCTTTCCTTTCAATCACTACTGGATTAAAAGTGTGAAAACAGCCAAAGGAGTGGAAAAAAACCGAGCAAATATGGAGGCAAACATGCCCCAAGTGGCCCAAAAGAAGCAGCTGATGCAGCGCAGGTCCCGACCCACGCACACTGCCAGCTGCAGCATCCAAATAACCCTCTGGAGCTGCCATCTAATTACAGGGGGCTTCATGGCCCCACTCACATTCCCCATCTCATCTTCCCCCAGCAACCTCCTGCCTCCAGGGACTGAATTATCCTCCAGCGCTTGCGGTCAGGGATCAAAACAAAACAAAAATAAATAAACAAGCACATTTTGGGGCTATTTTCAGTGCAAGTCATTGGACGGCTGGAGCAGGGGGCAAATTAACCAGAGGACCAAATTAACCAGGGATTCAATTAGGGGAAAAAGGCTCTCCACCACACTTTGTTTGCTAACCTCACCATCAAACCCCCCCAGGACTTCTCTCAGCTTTGTTTCCTGCTACTTGCAGCACACGGCGGCTGCTGAAAATTTTATTTGCACAGAGCTCTGCTGCAAAACAAATGCAAGAGTGCTGTGCTAACAAGGAGCAGGGAAGCTGTTCCGTCGCTGGGATGCAGCCAGCGGGTCTCCAAACCCCCCTGCCTAACTGCCTCCTTGGATAATATTCTTTCAGATACGGGGAGAAGGCTTCAAGCTTGTTAGAGGAAAAAATATTCCACGACTTAGCTATGCAATGAATTATAAAATACACAGGGCTAGGAGGCCTTTGATTCCTCCCGCCTCGCGCTCCATCCATCCATATTGCAGCTCTAGGGAACAAACCCGGCGCCCGTGTTTGAACAAGGCCATCCTAACGAGATTTGCTGCAGCTGGGACTCGCACATGAAAGTTGCGTGATGAAGTGTGCCGACAGAAAAACCACAACGAGGCAGGCTGATGAGGGGAGAGCCCGAGAACAAAAGCAAACCTTATCGCTCCCATTAAAGCCTGCCCGACGGTGAACAATCTCCACCGAGCAGCTCGCTCTGAAATGCTAAATAGCCGTGGCTGCCCCGTGCACCCGTTGGTTTCCTCCATGCAAAACAAGAAAAAAAGGCTTTGGGGGCTTTGTTTTGTTTGTGATAAATACATTTCCTTCGCTGAGATGGAGGCGCAGCTCAGTGCAGTCTGTCTGTGGGAAGACGGAGGGGAAAAGGAGCAATTAGGTGATAATGAAGCTATCGCTTGATTTTTCTTCTGTGCTTCCTGATGCTGAGACAAATCACGTCTTGGCCACGTCAAACCATGTCTTGGCTGCGTTTAACCATGGCTGCAGTGAGTACCAAACCCAGACATGCATGGAGACCCAGGTGCCTTCATGCCGGGTCGCTTTGCAAGCCTTTCAACAGCAGAATGGAGATGATTCTTTTTGTTGTTTCTTTGTTTTTGAAGCATTTGGAGGCCAGCAGCTGATTTACCTCTCCCCACTTTGCCTATGGTCCCTTTCATCTGAGCACCGCGTGCTCATTTTTCCTTCTCCTTTGAGGAGTTCTAAGGCCTGGGAATGTCTCCAGGAGGGATGGGTGACCTCCACAGCCTGAGATGGGAGCAGAAAGTTGGCTTACACTCCGCAGCACTCCAACACCTGAGCCCACCAAACACAGGCAGCCCATCCCTGAATCATAGAACCAAGAATGGGTCAGGTTGGCAAAGAGTACTGAGACCAACAAGTCCAACCTCTATCCCACCCTCACCATACCCACTCATAGAATCAATAACGTTGGGAAAAACCACTAAGGCCAACCACCAACCCATCACCTATGCCCACCAAGCCGTGTCCCTCACTAACCATCACCAAATTCTGTTTGTAGACCCACTGCTCTTCTCTTAATGCTGGTTTACAGAAGCAACCCATGCTTCCCAAGCACAAAGAGCTGCGCTCAGCTCCCCATTCCCAGCCAAAACTGGTGAGGAAGGATTGCTAAGGGCTTCTGGATCCACGCCTGCTCCAAAGGTACATAGGGAAACAGGATGGGGATGCCAAAAAAAGTCAGTGCTTCAGATGCACACAGGACAGACCTGTGCTATTAACCCTAAACTCACAACCATGGAGGGCTGCTCCTGTGCCCCACAGGGCAGATGGGAGAGGGATGCTCAGCACAGCCCTTATCAGCCACACACCAACAAGCCACTGGGAGAGGTGGAAAGGAAACAAGAAGTAGATAAAAAAAAAAAAAGGACAAATACTCCCTGCTTCCTATAGCCCTCAGCAAGCCATAGGCTCTGTAAAACACAGACATCACAGCCTGTCTAATTAAACACTAGGGGTTTTCTTACCTGGCCTCCCTGAGTGCCCTGAAGGCTGCGAGAGCTCACAAGCCAGCACCTGAGCTCCCTGCCCTGTGACACAGCCACCCAAAACCCTCCTAAAGAAATCAGTCCAGCTGCAGCTCCCAAGAACGCCCCCATTTCAGCGCTGCAGACAGAAGGCATCCATTCTGCAGCTCCCCTCCCACCAACCTCCCCTCCCTGGGGTTACACGTCGCCACGGTTGGAGATTTCCACTTGATTCTCTGCCTTTCTGCATGAGATAAATCGTTTCCCAGCCCGCTCTGCCCCCAGAGCTGGGGATTCATCCTGCCCTCCTCGCACAGCACAGGGAGCTCTCCTGGATGCAGCACCACGAAGCTGTGCACAAAAGAGTTGGGTTACATTTGAGGAGGAGGAGGAAGGCAGTCGCCCTGAAATCTGGAGGCAAACAGAGGCAAAATTAATTTCTTTGCCTCTGAAGATTTGGAAGGCAGGAATCCTCCTGGCCACAGCAGACAGCAAATCGTATTACAGACGGGATTGGCTAAATCCTAATCCCTGAGGATACCAGGTATTGTCTGAACAACTCCTTGTCCCTGCTTCAAGCTTTGGGCTCTGCAACCAAGGCAGAGAGGACACAGCCAGGGACACACAGGGACACACAGCCAGAAAATTCAAGTGCCTGTACCCAAATCACCTCCATCCCAATGCCTTTATGCCCCACGTGAGTCAGCCTGCAGACCACTGCAAACCTACAAGCAACCCTTCCCTACCATGCATGATTCCTGCAAGTCATCCAGCCCAGCTCCCTGCTGGGAAGGCAATGCTGTTGTCCCCACGGGAAGAACGAGCAAGTGTCCCTCGTAACCTGGGTGACATCACGATGCTCTCTAATTTGTCCTGCATGCTTCCATAATCCCATGCCCCACCCAGGTAATCCCTCCTACCCAGGCTGCTAATGCACAGATCTGACTTCTTTTTAAATAACAATTGATTTTTTTTTTTTTTTTTTTTTTGCTTTTTTTATTTCCTCCCTTTCAATCCCTTCTATTATCCCTGGACAACCTGTGCACAGCAGGCACTCAGCTGGCACAGAGCATCGTTGTTCCGATAGCAGCAGGGTCCCCCCCCCCAGAGCCCATCCCTGCACCCGTCTCCCCACGGCTCACATTCATGCTTGTCACTCACTGAAGACCCATTCTGAAAGCATTCTGCTTTTCCCACACCCACTGCCCCCAAGCCACGTCACTTCCAAGCAGCTGGGTCCCCATCTCCAGCATCCCCAAGGGGGACAGTATCACAGAATGGCCTAGGTTGCAAAGGACCACAATATTCATCTAGTTTCAACTCCCTGCTACGCTCACGGTTGCCAGACCAGGCTGCCCAGAGCCACATCCAGCCTGGAACAGCAGCTGGCAGGGAGCTCTGCTCTTGGTGCAGCAGAGCCTGCAGCCCTCATGTCTCATCCTCTTGCCAATGTGCCCTTCAGAGAGGGAACTGAGCTTTGCCAAGGAAAAATACTACTAAATCAGACCAGCATCTCTCCCTCCTGTTCTTCCTCTCCAAAAATAGGGAAGCCCTACCGATCTCTTCTGCAGGAGCTGCTTTAGCATCACACAGCCATCCTGGTTCCCTTTCCCCAGCCTGTGGGCAGGCCATGGCCCCCCAGCACCAATGCTGCCACTTCCTCACAGCACGGCAAGCAAGCCTTAAAGCTCAGCCTTCCCCAATTACATTTTCATTTCAATCACACGCTGCAGAGCTCTAACTCAGTCTTTCCCCAGCCTGGGGCTGGCTGCAGCACCGGCATTCTGCGCTCGCTGACAGTTTGACACCAACAGCACAGAGCAGCTTGTTCTCCCAATCTCAGGTTTGATCTAAATTAAAAGAAGCAAAGACTTCAGCGTTAACCAACCTGTCACATCGCATTAAAAACAAATGCCTGCAGGGCCCACCTGTGCTGTGCTCCTTACCTGCAGCACAAGCCCTTTGATTACCACCACGCTGACACATGTCCCCAAGGTGGGCTCCTCTTGGGGGCTGCCTTTGTCATTTTTGCATTAACAACCCCAAATTTAGCCATTTCTGGAAGACTTTCTTTTAATATGTCTCCATTTAAACAAAGCCAGCGCTCCTCAGCTCCTCATTGCCCAGTAGATGTGTGACACTGGGCTCGTTCTGGTCAGCAGGGCTGCCTCCCAGTTGCTCTGCATTGAGCTGGGAGGGATCGCAGCCAAGCCAACCCCCCCAAGGCCCCAACAAATCTCCCTCCAGCCTCACTAAGGGATGCCTGGTGTGAGAGCTGTCAGCACCCATCACCCTTGAAGCATGGAGAGCTTCAGAAATGAGAGGGAAAAAAAAACCATCTCTCAAGTCCTACATTATTATTATTATTTTTTTTTATAGCTTCTGCAGGAGGGGAGCTGTCGTCTTGCTGACTGGCTGTGCTATGGATGTTAGATGTGCAGAGGTGACAGGACAGCAGACCTGGAGCCCTCTCACCCCCAGCCCAAGCTGTTTTCTCCTCCAGGGCTTTCATGCCCCACAGGCAGTGCTATGGATTTAGGATTGACACAGAGGGGTGCAGCAGCAAGCCTCAGCCCCCAGCTTGGGCTGGAGCTCAGCCCTGCTTCCCAGCACACCAGAGCTGTCACCTCATCTCCTGCCAGGGTCTAAAATACCCATATTTGAAAGGCGTGAGGAAAACAAAGCAAAGAAGAATAAAGGATGGTAGTCAGTACCCTCTGCTTCTTCCAGCCAGCCCCAACCTGGCTCATTCAGAGGGCTTGGAGAAGAGAAAACTCCAGGAAGACCTCATGGTGGCCTTCCAGTGCTTGAAGGGAGCAGATAAACAGGAGGGGGAACGGCTGTTTGTGAGGGTGGGTGGTGATGGGACAAGGGGAATGGTTTTAAAGTGAGACAGGGGAGGTTTGGGTTGGATATGAGGAGGGAGTTTTTCAGCCAGAGGGTGGTGAGGCACTGGCACAGGTTGCCCAAGGAGGCTTGAAGGTTCCTTCCAAACCAACCCATTCTAATCCTATCATTTCAGCACTGAAACAGTTGTTGTTCCAAGTGCTTCTGTGAGAACTACCCAAGAGCTATTTTAGGTAATTGGAGCACTTACCTGGTTCTTGGAAGTGCTCTTCATTTGACAGTGTTCTGGACAAGATGAGGATAAGTGCTTCCTTGAACTGATCAAAGTGGACCTGTGGATAGAAAAATGAGATGAATGGGTGCAGATAATTGAGTAGTGGTCTGACAACCCATCAGCAATGCAAACATTCAGTGTTAGCACAGGACAACCCAAAGCCACGACTTGAATGCATTTGTAGCCTTTTCCCATCAAGCAGACAGCTGAAATAATCATAGAATCCTTGAGGGTAGAAGAGACCACTACAGTCATCTTAGTTTGTCCATAGCAACCAGAGGACCATGGGGAGCATCCCAAGTTGGAAGGGACCCACAAGGATCATCACAGGGAAGTTGGATCAGATGGCCTTTAAAGGTCCCTCCCAACTCAACCCATTCTGTGGTTCAGTTGCAGAGGAGCTGCAGTGTCCTTTGCAGTCACGCAGGGGAATCTGAGCAATCCCAGCCATGCACTGGCACCAGGTGATGCTGTCAGGGTGAGATGGAAGGCTGGGGACAGCTGGGCTCAGCAGTGAGGCAGAGCTGGCTGCCTGTTGGGGCTGGAGAAATCCTTGGAGAATTTTTAGCCTTCAACAAGGGACTTTATGCCTACAGAAACAGAGGATGCTATTGCTGGCAGTCAGGTGCTGTAGATGCAGTGCTGCCGGAGCTGCAGCCAGAGCAGATTTTAATGCTGTCAGGGAATGGATGAGCAGCAAAGCTCAAGTGTGAATCACAGAATCATTGGAAAAGACCTCTGAGATCCCCAGCCCACCCCACCATGCCCACATCCCTCAATGCCACACCTCCACCACTCTTGGACACCTCCATGGACAGTGACCCCACCACGCAGCCCCATGCCCATCACTGCTGCCTTCCTGAACACCTGGAGTAATTCAGAACCTCATCAAGGATGCCTTCTCTGAATACCAACTGCTGCCATTCGTTTCACAACACTAACATGTTTCACAAGGACAGTTTGCAGAGATAAGAGAATTTGCCCAATAAAAAAAAAGAACTTGATGTTTAGACTGAAGGAGCATGAATAAAAGATGAGAGTTGGAATAACATGTCCCCCTTCCCCCCAAGATCTGCTTGGAGACAGCAGGCAGAGCCACCCCTTGGTCAGGCACAGGGTCTGGCTGGGTACTGGAGGCAGCAGGGAAAAATTAATAGGAGTCACTGGGTGTCACTTGTGCAAATGGGATGAGCTGTGGAGCTGAACCAGGAGCAGGGGGGAGAAGGAGGGCAGGGCTGCAGCTGCACGTGGGCAGATGGCTGCAATTTGACCGTGACCACAACCAAAGACGCTCCTGGAAGATTAGGCTGCAAGGCTGGGTTTAGGAATCCTTCAGTGCTCCTGGATTTCAAATGCAAATGGGCAGCACAGACACAAGAGGCACACTCACAGGTGGCCCTTAATCACAGAATCATTAAGATTGGAAAAGACCTTAAGATCATCTAGTCCAACCACCCATCTACCACCAATACTGCCCACTAGCCATGTTCCTAAGCACTACATCTACGTATTTCTTGAGCACAGTGCTCCTGTAAAGCCAAGGGGCAGAGGGAGGTGGCACAGGGATGCACCAACAGCCCTGCAGAGAGCCCGAGTGCCTTTGGGGCAGCAGCACCTGGCTTCAGGATGGATGCACCATGAGAGCTAGGGGGTATTTCCCTTCCTGTTTGACCTGCTGGAGAACATCAAGCAAATCCCAGCAGCCAGCAAGCCAGGAAAAGCAGCGTCTGCTTTGCACCATGCATCTGACCTTGAGTGCTGGAGGGATGTACAAAGAACATGCCTAGAAAATTGCAGCTGCTAGAATTAGTGCTGTGCTCAAGCACAAGCCAGGCAGGGAAACCCACGGGACAGCAAAGCCACAAGCTCCAAAATAGCTCACACTACAGAAAGTGAGGCTTTGCCACTGCTCCCAGCAGCACCCTCCTCCAATGACATGCAGCAAGCACCAGTGACATCAGCACTGGACATAGCCCTCCCAAAGCAGCCTCAGCCACAAGCCAGCCCTGCCAAAGCCTGTACAAGCCAAAGGCAGAACGTCTGCAGCAGCAAAACACCAGGAGGGTGTTTAAAGTTTAATGCTCTTTTTGACACGCTTGGCTGAACACAGGGTATTTTGGGACCTGGAGCTGCAGGACTGGCCGTCTGTGCTGGGTGACAATGGCAGCATGTGTGTGCCCTGCTGGGACGGGGCTGGGGTCAGCACCACGTCCCACTGTCTGCATCAGGACTTGGGAAGGGCCATGTTGGGCTGAGAAGGGACGGCCACCAAGGAGCGCTCCAGGGAGATGCCCAACATTCCCCAACCCCACAGCTCCAGAAACGTGGAGATGTGGCCCTCATGGGGATGGGAGGGATGGGGAAACACGGGGGCCTCTTCCAACTTGAGTGATCCCACAGCTCACACCCCTGCCGCCACGCTATCCCTGCAGTGCTGCTTCATGTTAGCTGCTCACTGACACGACACGAGGGGCAAGCAGGCAGAGTGCCCAGGAATGCCAGGAATTGCTGCAAGCATCGAAGAATGGCCTGAGAAGAAGAACCAGGGACGGCCCAGCAGTGCTGTAAGGATTTGCACAGCCCCGCCGGACTGCAGCGATAATCCCCAGCAGCCTGCACAAAGCCAGCAGCAGCACGTGCACCTCCTTGGTGCTGGGATGTGGGGATGCTCCCCCCGGCCCCAAGCATTCAGCCCCAGCACAAAAGGCAGCACGTGGCCACGCCAACTCCCCGCCGCTCCGCAGACAAAACGTTCCCCAGAGCCTCCCCAAGAAATAAAGCCCAGGAACAAAGCAGCGTGGCCCACAGGCAGGTGCAGATCTCCCCAGCAGAACATAAAATAGAAACGACCCAAGCTTGTGGGAAGCCGGTAGGAGGGATGGGGTGAGCATGCCCCATACTTGGAGTGCTCTCAGCAGGGGCTTGACACCCTGATGCTTCCATCTACGAGGACACAGTCACAGCATAATGTCAATTTGCAAAGCGCAGAGCAGCTGGGGGATCTGTGAGCCAGCAGGATGCTGCAACCCCAAAGGAGGAAGGAGCCATTTCCTACCAACAGCTGCATGGGGACACCAGGAAATGCGGATGGAGGTGGTTCAGGTGGCCACCATGGAGTCTGATGGCAATCTCAACGTGGTGGCACGCACTCCCACCACAGCTGTTGTCCACAGCAGCTTAAGTCACCCATGGCAGTTGGCTGGAACTGAATGGGTTTCAAGGTCTCTTCCAACCCAACCATTCTGTGGTTCTTTGAAATCAGAAGCTCTAGCCCTGGCTTTAGGTCCCCATAACCTTCCAAGGACCCAAGGAAGTGATTAAGGCTGGAGACAGCACAAGCAACGCTGAGCATGAAGTGATGGCATCGGAGAATTTTGGTGGGGAGAAAAGCAGTGCAGTTGGCTCCATCTGGGGACAAACGTTACAGTTGGCAGTTTTCTCCTCTCCCATTATAGCTCACCTTCTGGAGGCTGTCTCACGCTCACCCTATCCTCACACAGTGGAGCAGCAGTGCAAACACATGGCTGGAGCCGGGCTGCTCACAGCCCAGTGACCAAAGCAAGAAACTCTGGCTGCCCTGCAGATGTCTGAGGCCACAGATGGGGCCATGAGCAGCCTGAGCTGCAGGGGGGCACCCAGCCCACAACAAGGATGGGGGTCTTTGAGGTCCCTTCCAACACAACCACTCCATAACTCCATGAAACACATCCCTATCATGCGCACAGCAAGGACCACATCCACACAGTAATACAACCCCAGCCTTACCCTGCCTAGGAGGTTGCCCTGGAGCAGGGTCTGCTGCAATGCCGGGGCCACCTCCTCCAGGTGCAGTACATGGCACAAATCAGTGAGCTCCTCCTGCCCCAGCGACCCCGTGCCCGTGCTGTCGAAGCTGTCAAAGAGCTCCTTGAGGCGGGCTTCATACTGGTCCTGCTCAGCTTCATCCATCCCATAGCCTGCCAGGCTCACCTGGGGGGAGAAACACAGAGGTAAGGATTCCCACGGCACAAGCACAAAGAAAACCCCAAGGGCTGATATGGAGGCAGCTTTGCTCCATACCATTTGCATCCATGTTTGCTTGCATTAAGCCACCCCAGTAGCCTCCTGGGTGAAGCCAGGAGCAACGCACTGCAAAGGCTCAGTGGGAAAACATAGTGAGGATCTGGGGATTTTGCACCTTGCTGGGTGATTTGCAGGTACATACGGCCACTATACTGAGGGCTACACCCCAAAAATCCACAGGGCTGCCATCATCCAGTCATGAGCTTCCCTCTGCACATGGACCTCACAGCACGTGGGAGCAGAGCGTGCACCCCAAAGCAGCACTTCTCCTGTTACTGGCATGTGCTCAGGGGACATATCCACACTGGGTCACTGCCCTGCCCATGTCACAGCGCTGGGCTGCAGGGACCTGAGGTCAAATCCTGCCTGGAGCAATTGGCACCGAGCACAGGACACTGTGAGGTGGCAGTGCTGGAATTTGGAACGTGGAGCATCCCAACCCCAGGGATTTACTTTGGGAGGGGGAGCGGGGAGTGAGATTTCCTGTCCAAGCTGAGGACTTGACTGGCATCCTTTGATTCTGGCTGCAGGGTTTCCCTCCTGGCTCAATAGGCCAGCAGCAGAACCAATGCCATAACACAACTGCAGGGTGATGCCAGCAACCCAGGCACAAGTTATAGGGCTGTATCTGAGATGCAACCCAATTCCACCCCCCCAACACCATCCCTTCCCACACAGTGGCCTCCAGGGATCCCAGGAATCTGGGAATCAGGAAACCCACAGGACAGACACAGCAGCCTGGTCCCCGACGCGCAGCAACAGCGCATCTGCATCCAACCTGGGGTGCAGAGGAGGAGTCAGCACCTGAAACCCCAAATGCCTGCCAGCAGAGGGAAGGCAGCAAACTGGTTCCTTGCTTCTCACCCACAGCAATTCCATTTCCCACCTGCACCCAGGGCTCTGCACACATTAGGCACCAGCACCACAGCCTGCATGGCAGCCCCAATGCTCACAGCACACCCGCAGTGCCTCCAGCCCCAGGATCTTCCCAGGCACTTCTGGGCCTCGAATCTTTGGGCTCAGCTACCACCTGCCCCCCCCAAACCATCCCTGATTCCACATCCACACCCCCAAAGCCACTTCCCCCAGCTGGGCAGAGCACAGAACTAAGTGCCACCTCCCAGTGCACACACAAGTATTGGGGTCGCTGAGCCCCCCCTCTGCTAAACCGACCCCAATGAACCCAGGGATGCTGGGCGAGGAGGGATGGAAGCCCATAAATCCAGCAAGGAATGAACCCACAATGCCACAGAGCAGCACAGCAGGGAGGGATGGCCAGAGCACGCCAGGCTGTGAGCACAGACAGACACAGGCATCCCCACACAGCCAAGGGGGGGATTTAAGGTTTCCCAGCCTACAAGTGAACAAAGGAAGGAATAAGGCACAGGACATCCCCCTCTTTCCTACCTGCAGGCAGCCAGCGCTGCGGCCCCACACGCATCCCGCACAACCTCCATCTTAGGCAGCTGCCGTGCAAGGTGACCCAAGATGCCTGAATTATTCAGCATTGCTTCAGGGAGAAGGATCCAACCCAGCCCCATGCCTTCCTCCTACCACCAGGCTGGGAGGCAGCAGCACAGCCATCCCAGTGCTGTGGGGATAATGGGGTCAGCTGAGCCCCAGCTGCTGGTCGGGGGCACGGAGGGGAAACCAGAGCACAAAGCCCGGCTGAGAGCACGCAGCCTCTCGTCTCAGCTCCAGATGGGGCAGCAGCTGAGGTGCTGGGAGTGGTAGGACTGGGGAGGGGGCAGCAGCTGGGCCGGGCCCCCCCTCCTTTCCCCTTTGAGAGGGGCTCAGCTCCAATGGGGGTCGCTTTGTTTGGGTTCGTTAAGTCCTCCAAAATGATAAACTTGGGTCGAGCGGGCAGCTTTAGAAGAACTGCACTTTATTGTTGTTATCATTGTTATTTCTACCGACCCTATGGCAAGCCTTTGGCAGGAAAGCACTTGGGATGGTGAGATAAGGAATTCCCCCAGCATTTCTCTCCTCCCTTTTGCACCCACCCCCTTCAACACAGAGGCTGACAAAGCCATTCCCAGCTCAATTTAACCCTAACAACACAGGCTAACGTGGTAATTCAGGACTTTGAGCCAATCCCAACCTCCAAGCTTTAGCCTACATGGCTGATCCATGGATGGCACACTGCAGCTGGCACAGCAGTTGCTTATCAAAGCAAAGAGCGGAAGGAAGGAGCTTCTCCCAGTGCTGTTCCAGTGCTGCTCTGCCTGCAGCCCTCAGGCTGCGTTGCTGATGGCATTTCTGTGCACCCAAACCAAGTCACTGCTGTGACCCAACCAAGCCCTGGCACCCAGCAGTGCACGGCCACTGGAGCTCCATCACATGGCCATGGCCAGAACATCAGCAGATGCAGAACACGGCCAATGTCACCTTGTGCTGAGCAAGGCCGGGACCCAGGCACAGCATTTTGTTCCAAGGTGCCACCGACACGAGGCCCTGGAGCTCCTCTGGAAGGTCAGCTGTCTCTTTGAGCTTTTTATCTCCTTCCCCTAATGAATCATCTCACACAGCACAGCTGGGACCGAGCTGACATCATTCCCTGCTTTCCCTGCTCAAACCACAGACCCTTATTTTGCCTCTTTTGGGGTGATTTCTCAGCTTAACCCACTTCAGGTGCCACCATCTCCTTGGTTGAACAATGCCCAAAAGCCAATGGGAAAAAAAAAAAAAAAGTCAATGAGAAAGAGAAAAAAAAACCACCAACAGAACCCAGAAGGACAACGCAGCACCCAACCATCAGCCCATGGCCACAGCACACCCACCTCTCCAAGGGTCACCCCAAAGCCAACCCTACAGCTGGCGTTTCCTCTGCCCCATTGAGCACTGCCATGATTTCCACAGCCCCTCAGTGCCACCTCTCTCCCCCAAAACACAGCCAACCCCTCCAGAGCTGGCAGAAAGAGGGGATGATGCTGTTAACCAGCCCGCAGATTAGCGGGCAAGCGATGACAAATAAAGAGCTATAAATTTATGTAAAGAGCTTCAAAGCAGCACGGAGGTTTGAATATTCACGGCACCTCGGGATTTGCATTGTAATGGGCCCTTTCAATAAGGAAAAACAATGCTCCCATCTGCTGGGGTTCTGCAAGCTGCCACGGGGCTGTGCCCCACAACTTGGGGAACCCCTGATGGGATGAAACCCAGAGCCAATGGTCATGGAGTTGGGGAATATTTAGAGTAGGATGGAACCCGTAAGGATTGTGGGGTCCAAGTGCTGGTTGCACACAGGACCACCCAAAATCCAAACCCTGTAACTATAGAATGACAGAACACCCCGAGTTGGAATGGATCCGTAAGGACATCGGGGCCAACTTCTGGCTCCACGCAGGGCCACCCAAAATCCAAACTCTAGGGATCATGGAATCACAGAACATCCCCAATTGGAAGGGACCCATGAGGACCAACACCCGACCGCTGCTCCCGAGCTGTGCACGGCACCGGGACGGAGCCCCGAGGACACGACGGGTGCTGAATCACGGTGCCACACACCGGCACCCCCACGGCGGACACACGGAAGATGCTCAAACGCCAACGCAGCATCCCAAAGCAACACACGCCAAAAAAAACCCCAAACCACCAAAGCCTTACCCCCAGCTCCTCGCTCCGGCTGACCCTAAGGGGCTCCGCTTTAGGGTCTCACCCCCAGCCCCACGCTCACCCACCAGCTGCCGTCTGGGGACTTCACCAATGACAAACGGAGCGATGTCACCATCCCAGCCCCCCGCCGGCAGCTCGCTACGTCCTTCAGCCCGCCCGGAACGACGCGGGCGGCCTCGGTGGGCGAAGCGAAGGAGCTCGGCTCCCCACCCCACCTCCCCCCGCTGCTCCCCGTGCTCACCCGGCGCCCTGCCGGTGTCTGCGGCGGAGCGCAGCGGAACGGAGCCGAACGGAACGGAGCGTGGCTACCGGAGGCGGTGCCCCGTTCAAATGCGGCCGCGTTTATTGGGCAGCGGCGCGGGGGCGGCCCCGGGGGGGCGGGCGGATGGACGGCGGTTCTTTGTGAGCCGGGGGAGGGTCGGCGCCGAGTGGCGGCGGCGGTTCGGAGCCCAACGCGGGGTCCGAGGTGCACCGTGCGGGTGGCGTCACCGAGGTGCCGTGTCCCGGCTTGGGGTTCCCGTGCCTCCTCTTGTTCTTTGCCCCGAGGTGGCATCACCGTGGGGCCGTGCTGGCTTGCACCCCAGCTTAGGGTCCTCGTGGTCCCCTCTGTCGCCGTGGGACGGCTTACCCTTGTCCCGAGTTGCCACACCAACTGGTGCCGTGTCACCCCAGTATCTCCAGCCCAGGAGTGCGTCGGCTCCCTGCCACCCAGGGTTGACCTTGTGCTGCGGGTCCCTCAGCGGTGACACAGCACCTATGGGCACCCCCAAAACGCAGCACCCTATTAAGGCTCTCATTGGAGCTGGAGCCCACCTCAGCCGCCAGCTGAGTGCAGCCTGCGGGTTCTCTGCTGGCTCGTATGGGGCTGAGCTCCCACTGCAACATGCTGCAGGCTTCTGTTTCGCTTCTCTCTGCAAAAACTCTCCGGGAATCCTCTGAGCTCTCTTTGAAGATGAACCTGAAGCTGGTCTCAATATATTTAGGAAAAAAAAGAGCTTCAAACCCACAAAATGCTGTGGGATGGCCAAGGGCCCAATGGCTGCAATGGGGACAGAGCCCCACTGCAGCACCAGGAGCAGCCCTGGTCTCCATGCAGTGTCATCACCTCCTGTCCCTGCAGTCCCCAGCGCGTGCTGCCTGCTGGGGTCACGGCCCCATGGCCCTGAGCGAGGCTAAAGGTGACAGCAATGGGGACAGGGGCTGTGTGGGACAGATGTTAGTGAGAGAGCTTTGTGCTGGGCTTTGGGGTCTGTTTTGTAACATTTGCCATTTTTCTCCGCAGCTTTCTTCTGCTCTGACACTTGCTGAGGGTTCTTCTATTTATCTATTTTTTTTTCTTTCCTTTCTCCCTCCCTTTCCCCATTTGCTGTTTCATCCCCGGTTCAAACCCCCCCCCCCCCCTCCTTTTTTTTTTCTTCACTGCGCTTTATGCGGAGCTGGAACCATCTGCTGCTTTGTTTTGTTGGAGCACGGCGAGTGCCAGGACCTTTATCCCCCGCACCCCTCCCCACCGTGCTGTGCTAATCCACAGCACTGCCCCAAAATCACCGCCGCCACCAAACAAAGCCTCTGCGCGGCTGCGTGTGTGCAGCTGGGTGGGCAGCAGGGATGGGCAGCATCCATGGCATCCCCACGGTCCCCACATCCTCACACTCCCATGTCCCACATCCCTGTGTCCACCTGACCCCATGTCCCCAATGTCCCCATGTCCGCATGGCCTCATGTCCCCACGCCTCTGTGTTACCATGCCACCATGTCTCTACTTCCCCAAGTCCCCAAATCCCCATGTTCTCATGTTTCTGTGTCCATACATCCCACATCCCGATGTTCACACATCCTCATATCCCCACTTTTCCACATCCCCACATGCCCACGTCCCTGTGTCCCTACGTCATCAAGTCCCCATATTCCTGTGTCCCCGTGTTTTCATGTCCCAACATCCCTATGTCACCATATTTCTACATCCCCATGTCCCCAAACCCCCACGTCCTCATGTTCCCGTGTGCCCATTTGTCCCCATTCCTACCTCCTCGCATCCCCATATCCCCCCTTTCCCACATCCACAATTCTTCATGTCCCTATGACCCCATATCCCCACATTCCCATGTCCCCACATCCCCATGTCCTCATGCCCCCATATCCCATATCCCACATCCCCGTCTCCCTGCCCACGTTTGACAGCAGTAGTGGATGCAAATTCCCCCCTTCCTTTTAGGGCTGGCTTCTGGCAGAGTCATCCCACCGTATTCCCCCCATCCCTGTAGGACGAAGCCGTCCTTGCACAGCCTTTAGCTCTGAGCACCCTCACAGCCGCAGCTCAGTGCTGTGCCTGCAATGTGAGCTCACAGGAAGGAAACTCAGCTCTCCGGCGCAATCACAAGTGACGCAGGCACAAGAACAGCAATCTGGGCAAAGCCAGGCCTGCCGAGCAGGAACGGGGCCGGGCCTTGTGCGTGTCTGCGCCAGCAACGTGCGGCCCCACTGCTGCTGGGCAGGAGACCCTATAAAACCCCCCTCCCGGCCCCAGTCGCACTGCGCTGTGCCTCTTTGCGTCCCACTCCCCTGCACAGCAGCTCGCTGTTCTGTTCTGGGGCTGATTTCTGCTGCAAGGGGAAAAACCCCACATCCGGTGCATTAAAGCAGCAAACCTACACAAACGGCAGCAAATGTGAGCAAGAGGGGCGTATAGCAACGGGGTAACAGCCGAGAGGAGCCCTATGGTCGGAGCGGAGAGAAGTCGGGGATGGAACAAGCCCAAACTTGGATGGATTTGTCTTTATTCTTGTACACAAACAATGGTGATAGCCGTCCGCCTGCAGCTCGGTGCTGCCATCCTACGTCCGACCCGGCGCATTCCTGGGCCTGCTGCTGCTCAGTCCCGGCTCCGTCTCTTGGCTCTTATCTATATTTTTTAAAAAGTTATTGTTTTTTATTTGGATGTATTATTTGTTATTATCGCTGTTATTATTTTGGTTCGGTTGGCTTTTTATCATTTTTATTTTATTCATTATTTATTCCTCCCCCCCCCCTCAATGCCCCACCGCTGCTCCGCGGCGCTGCACGTGGGAGTGTCCCACGGCGAGTGGGCGGGGCTATCGGGCAGGAGGCAGGCTGTGATTGGCGAGGCCTAGGAGAGAGGGCGTGGCTTAGCATCCGGGAGGCGTGGCCTAGAGGAGGAGCGACGCTGTGAGTGGCGGGTTGAGCCGGGAGGGGCGTGGCTTAGCGGCGGAGGCGCGGCCTAGCGGCGGGGCGGCAGTCGGACGGCGCGATGCGGCGGCGCGGCGGCGCGGAGGCTGCGGAACACGGGAACGGTGATGGCAGCGGGCGGGCGGCGGAGGGGAGAGCGGACCGACCCCGGCGGTGAGTAGGCGGCTCTGGTCCCCGGCCCTCAGCTCCGCCTCGGAGTTGCTGCCTGCCAGGCATCTCCGCCGTGCCATGTGGCGTAACCTTATATCCACGGGCGAGTGGCCACGTGTGCCCCTATGGCAGAGCCGCCCCGCTATGACCATGTGTCCCCGATCCCTGTGGCCTTGCGTTCCCTAGCCCTCACAGCCTCGTGCCCTGACCTCCACGATCACTTTTCCTTGGCCAAGCTCCATGTCATGGCCGTATCCCAGTGTCGCACAGTACCCTGACCCCATCCCGTGTCCTCAGGTCCCCCTGCCATACCGTGTCCCCGTGTCACCCCTCCGCACATCGTTTCCCTTTGCCGTGGCTGTGCCACCCCTCCGTGCTGCCCCCCGCCCTGGCCCTACCTGCCCCACCTGTGGGATGTTGTGCAAGCAGGGTGTGAGCCCTCGCCCCTGCACTCGGTGACGGGGTGCAGCACCCGGTAATTAGCCCTAACGATGGTGAGCCCCGTTGGTGCAGCACGCAGGGTTCTGCACCCTCCAGTGCCCATGGGCCGCATCAAACCGCCCTTTGCAGCCCTTCCCTGCAACACTGCCTGAGGCTCTGGTGCCAAATCCACCCTAGCACAACCCCGCAGTGCTGCTGAGATCTGCTTTGACGCACGCAGATACCTCTGCCCCAGATCCCTGCTGGTTGCCCCATCGCCATGCTCAGGGTGCTGTGATTCTGATAAGCTGCAGAGTTTGGCATTTCCAACCCTCCTGGGTGCTCGTTTCAAAACTGCTGCAGCTGTGGAGGGTGTGGATGTGTCCCCAGTGCTTTGGGATGAGATGAGGATTTGGGATGCTGTTGGAGCATCACCTGCGTGCTGATGGCATCCCTCATCTGCTCTTTGTGTTGTTTGCCTTCAGCACGGGTCTCCCCGGGCCATTTCCCAGCTCCTTCCTTGTCCCCAACTTTTGGACACTTCTGTCACCTCTGAGCTCTGGGTGTTGTCACAGCGTTGGTGGCTCACTTGGCATGTGCCCTGCCCTTCCTGCCCACTCGTGTCCCTGTGGGAGGCTGTGGGGGACCGGGCGGTGGCCTCCGGTGATGCTGAATCACAGCTCCGAGGGCTCTGCTCTCCAAAAACCAAAACTCTGGGGGAGCACAGCCATAAATCAGCAATGGAGAAAACGAACCCAGTGTGAGGCCCTGGTCTTGGGAGGACAAACCTGACGTCAGAGCCTTGTCTTGGGACAGACACTTGGGTCTAAAGGGGCCGTGCTGACTGTGCTGTGTCCCACAGGGGCTGGCTGGGCTGGTGCCCCCGACTGCGCACTGTCCTCCTGCAGCTGCTCCTCATGTACATCTCCGTGCCCTTCCTCGTCCGCCTCTTCCCTGTCATCCTCACCAAATTTGTCTTCCTAAACTTCAGTGAGTACCCCAGCACTGAGAGCTCGCCCTAAGCAGTAGCACGCAGGGGGGGTGGAGGTTTTTTGGGGGTGGAGGCTTGGG